AACTACCTGATGTGGTGAAGTTTAGGAATGAAAAAGGAAAAATAATAGAGCAAGAGGTTAGTTATGATTGGAAACCATCTCTATGCAAACATTGTTTTAAGTATGGGCATGAGGAAGATGTGTGTAGAATTAAGAAGAAAATTCAAAAAACTGAAAATATGAATAAAGACAAGGTGTCAGATACACAGGTGGAAAAGCAAGGTCAAGGGCATAATGAGAACAATGCAAACCTGGAAGTTCAGAAAGCAAATGGACCAGAGAAGAGATATGATGCAGGGAAAGGAACAGTAGGGAGAACTCAGCAATATGTTGTTAAGAATCATGGGGCACAAAAGGAAAGAAATAGAGATCAAGACCGGCAAACACCTAATAAGTTTGGTAAAACTGTGGTGAGGCAGATGGAACAAGTGGAGAAGTCCAACTCATTTCAGATACTCAACAAGCAAGAGGAACTGAATTTAAGTAAAGAAGGGGGAGAATGAAGTAATGTGGGTGGTCTAAGCATCCCTCACAATGGGGATGATTAGTCTACTAAGCTGGAATACAAGGGGGCTTAATGCTCCTAATAAGCAAAAGGAGACTAAACTCCTTTGCAATGAGGAAAGAGTAGGGTTGATAGGTTTATTAGAAACAAAAATCAAAAAAGAGAGAATGGAAAAGATAGCAGAAATGATGTTTGCAGGATGACAATATGTAACAAATCTTGAATGTCACTATAATGGTAGAATCTGGATCACCTGGAGGCCAAGTTACTACCAGGTAAAGCCTAAGGAAAAAACTGCTCAACTAATAACATGTGAAGTTTTGTATATACCACTAAAGCTAGCTTTTGAGGTAACATATGTTTATGCTTTTAATACAAAGGAAGAGAGAAGAGGACTGTGGGAAGGATTAGTCAATCAAGCCATGGATGGTAATAGGTGACTTCAATGCAGTGTTGAATGCAGATGGCAGAATAGGTGAAAGGAAGTGACATGGGCTGAAGTGGTGGATTTTCACAACTGTGTAATGGAGTGTGGATTAATGGAATTGCCAGCACAAGGGAATAGGTATACCTGGAGTGATAAACATGAGGAGCATAGGATATTCTCAAAAATTGATTGGATTTTTATTAATGATTAATAGCTTACTACTATGCCAGAGTGTGCTGCCAGGTTTCTGACTGAAGGAATCAGTGATCATTATCCAGCTAAGGTGACCTTTGTAGAAGAGAAGCAAAGAATCAGAAGGGCTTTTCAATTTTGCAATATTTGGACAAAGCATCCACAATTCATGAGGATAGTCAAAGAAGGTTGGGAAATCAATCTGGAAGGGTGCAAACTGTTTAAGGTTGTTAAAAGGCTGAAGCTGCTAAATAAGGGACTAAGAGCATTAAATGCTCAGGCTTTTAATAACATATTGACAGAAGCAAATGAAAACAGGGCTAATCTAAAGAAGGCTCAAAAGCAGTTGCAGAGAAGTCCCTTAAATGTGGAGTATCAACAAGCTGAAGCTAAAACATATCAGAAGTTTAGGAATTCATCCTACTTAGCTGAAGTATATTTACAACAAAGGAGCAAAGCAACATGGATAAGATTGGGAGATGATAATACTAAGTATTTTCGCTCAGTAATCAAACACACGAAACTGAAGCAGGCAGTTACTCAGATAAAAGACAGCTCTGGTAATTGGCTAACAGATCCAGATAGAATTGCAGATACTTTTGTTGAGTATTATGAGAACTTACTAGGGAGGACAGCAAGTGATAGAGTGGTGACTTTCACGAGTATAATTAGAAATGGAAGCAGATTATCAGAAACACAACAAGATGAACTAATACAACCTTTCTTGAGAAGGGAAGTGAAGCAAGCTATGTTCCAGATAGACAACAATAAGAGTCCTGGTCCAAATGGATTTGGGAGTAGTTTTTATAAAGCTGCATGGCCAATAGTGGGAGGAGATATCACTGAAGCAATATTGGAGTTCTTTCAGAATGGAAGATTGCTTAGACAGATAAACACTACTAACATTGCTTTGATACCTAAAGTGGAGGCTCCTGAGAATGCAAGCCAATATAGACCTATTTCATGTTGCAATGTGTTATATAAATGTATATCAAAGATGATATGTTCTAGATTAAAGCCAACAATCAGCTATATTGTAGCAGAAAACCAATCATCATTTGTACAAGGAAGATCTATGATGCATAATGTGCTAATATGTCATGATCTACTTAGACATTATAATAGAAGGACTACTCCTGATGCATAANAGTAGCAGAAAACCAATCAACATTTGTACAAGGAAGATCTATGATGCATAATGTGCTAATATGCCATGATCTACTTAGACATTATAATAGGAGGACTACTCCTAGATGCATAATGAAGATTGATCTAAGAAAGACATATGACATGGTGAGCTGGGAGTTTCTAGAGGAAGCATTAAGAGGATATGGCTTTCCTGACAAATTTATACAGTGGATTATGATATGTGTTTCTACTGCAAAGTTCACAGTCAAAGTTAATGGAGAAGGGCATGGATATTTTGATGGTAAGAGAGGACTGAGGCAAGGTGACCCTATGTCACCATTGCTATTTGTCTTGGTCATGGAGTATTTGCCCAGAACATTGAGTATAATCAGCAGGTTACCAGATTTCTGATTTCATCCTATGTGCAAAGAGATCAAGCTGACTCATCTTATTTTTGCTGATGATCTGATGATATTCTGCAAAGGTAATACTAGTTCTGTGAATAGAGTGATGGAAGCCCTAGATCACTTCAGTAAAGCTTCAGGATTGATTGCCAACATGGAGAAGTCAAATATCTTTGTAGCTGGGGTTGAAGATGAAATTAAAGCACAGTTGCTGAGTAGAATAAATTTCACTGAATGAGTGCTTCCTATCAAATATTTGGGACTGCCTCTATCACCTAAGAGATGGAATAAGATGGACTGGTAGATGCTGATTGGAAAGATCACACATAGAATTAGTGTCACATATTCTAAACAGTTGTCATATGTAGGAAGGCTTCAAGTAGTAAATGCTATCCTATTCTTTATCCATAGCTTCTGGGGGAATGTTTTTATCCTCCCTCAAAGTGTGGTGAAAGGAGTAGACAGGTTACGCAGAGAGTATTTGTGGGGCAAAAAGGAGGAGATGAGGAAAGTTGCCTTAGTTGCATGAGATAAAGTTTGTTGTCCTAAAAGCATGAGAGGTCTAAACATCAAGGGATGTAAGGAATGGAATATAGCTTCAATTGGAAAACTTGTATGGCAGTTAATATTGAACAAGGAGTCTCTTTGGGTAAGGTGGGTTCATGGGGTTTTATATGAAGTCAAATCAAGATATATGGACACATTCACCACCTTTAGATAGCAGCTGGTACTGGAGAAAGCTAAACTCAGTAAAAGAAGGGATGAGGGAGTGGTACTCACAGGGCAGATACATTCTAAATCCTGCAGGGGAGTACTCTATTAATCACAACTATCTTGCAATAATTGGTAGACAACAGAAGCTGGAAGTTGCAGATTTAGTATGGACAGCAGTAGCTCAACCTAAACACAGATTCATAGGTTGGCTAGCAACACTTAGGAAATTGCTGACAAAGGATAGGATGATTGGGGTGCAAATACAGGTTGAAAATGTTCACTGTATTTTGTGTAATGAGGATGCATTGGAATCTCAGGATCATTTGTTTGCTAAATGTGGATGGATAACAGCAGTAAGGCAAGAGTTGAACACATGGACAGGGCATGATGTACAATATACAAGAGTGAAGCAAATGTTGGAGCAGATAAAAGGAAGCACTGAAAACAGTTCAAAAAAGAAGTGATTGCTGCAGTGTACTTAGCGATGGTATACTATACATGGAGAGCAAGAAACACAAAAAATTTTCAAGGAAGGAATGTAAATATTGAAGAGGTAGTTATACAAATCAAGAGAGAAGTGATAGAAAGGATAGATTTACTTCAACAGTCAAAGAAAGCACAGAAATGTAGGAATTTTATTAGACAGATTACTTGTAATTAGATTTTTCTGTTTGTAGGAGGCCTAATTTTTGAGTTCAGGAAATTAGGTGCTCTATAAGTGTAATTGTTGTTGATGTTAATGGTAATTTCACATTGTTACCCAAAAAAAAATGAGGACAAATAGATGCTTCTTTCCCAATTTTGGTCTCAACCACGCTGCTGTCAGCTATCTACAATCTCTCCAACACTTAAAACTTAGTGGTTGCAAAATCAATTTAACAAAGATCACCACATGCAACTAACGGTGTACAGTGTTGACCCTGTTGAATTATTTTTATGTCTTTTTAATTTCGTTAAGAGAAATAATGACACCCCTAGGCTCAAATTATATGGAAATGCATTAGCCCTCGAAACCTATTCAAGACCCCATGAGATTTCCATGCACTAACAGATAGAGGAAAAAGGCTATGGATTAACGAAATGGTTTGATCATTTTGGCTTTTCCAGTTCAATAGTTTCTGCCAATCCCCAGCCTTGTTGTGGATGACGAATGCTTTTTTGGCATGTACTGCTATTTAAGTGCTACTAGAGTATAGATCTAAAAACAAAGATTTCCTCTTCTTATGCTGCCTACAGAGGAAGAGAGAAAAAAGGAACAGGATACTCGCTTCATCATGATATAATGAAAAAACAGCTGGAGTACAGTTCCAGTTTTATTTTTTATTTTTATTTATTTATTTTTTGTGGTCTAATAAGAAAATCAATATGCATGTTCAATATGTATTCCTAGGTTGCTATACCTGGTTATTTATGGAATTCCAAGCTCACAATGAGCATCTTTTAATAGATTATTGGAGAACCAATAGTAAAATAATTTGAGGGAGATCTATAAGAGATGACACTCATGATCTCATGAAACTGAACACGACAAATTAGTTTCGTAAATGGACCGTTATCATCCCTTCCAATTTAGAAGGGTAGAATGCCCTCATGGAAAGAGGAGAGTACAGAAATATTATTTCACAACTAGCTTTCGAACAAGAATAATGACCTGGTTGATATAAGGCTCCATCTGATGCAATAGTTCATACCCCTGTACATGACGTAGTATCTTAGATTCAGTCATGACGTACTCCATAATGTGAATAACTCTTACATTTCATCATTTCAAGACCTGTTTGCCACTCAAAAGAAAACAGAAAATGACCTGTTTGAAATACTGAAGATGAGCATCCATAGTCAAGCTAACAGCTTCCAAAAATTCGTACTTCTTTTTGGCCTCAACAGAAGAAAGAGCTCCAACCTGATCTTGTTTTGACGAATTGCAAATATTAGATGGTTGCTATTTGTCAACTGAATCATTATTTAGTTACTGACTCCCAAAGAATGTACATACATAAATATGTCTATAGGTGTGTTTGGGAGGAGGGCTGGAATTGAAAAATCGCAAATTAACTTAGTTTACTAGATTAAAGCGGGCATGCTCAAAAGCCGACCTTGCATAGTAAAGTTCCTGGAGCAGATCTCCACCAAATTAGAATTTAAAAGAGAATAGTTACCCATAAACTACCTGATCAATCAATTACACAAACAGGGAAACTGATCTTCAATTTTAAGAACCAATATGTGGTACCTCCTCAATGGCTGCAGCTATATCCATCCTAGTACTTTTCCTCAATGATAGGAACTTCTCGCGGACCTGAACAAAAGCAGTATAGGGTATTTTCAGTAGGCTATAACCCAAACAAATGTCAAGATATTTCCATATGTTTAGACAAGGGAGCAAGAAGTAGAATTAGAAAGGCCATCTTCTGTGCTGGATCCTGTAACCAAGGATATTAGGATCTTGAACGTCTGTCATGCAGAAAGGAAATATCCAAAGATCCATTTTCTGAAAATCTCCATATTGAAACGATAAAATTTTACCAGATCCAATTCAGTCAATGCTTGACAACGGGGACAAAATGTCAACGTAAAATAGGAAATCTTTTCCGACAAACAGCAAAACGAACTTGATCACTCCGCATTGCCTATCCTTTCACTAATGATATTCAAGAGTGCTAGTTAAGTCAGCCATTTCAAAGGGGAAGGACATTTATCGAACTAGGCAACAATTACATTCAGTTTCAATTAGAAATCGCTCCATTATAAAAATAATTGTACTTGTCAAATTGAATGAGTTATTCTCATAAAAACATGCAAGTCAATCACAAAAAAGATATGCAGTGTGACTAAAGGGATGTTGTATCCACCTGATCATAAGCTACATCAGCTTTGTCAAAACGCTTCCGAGATTCCTGAAAGTATTGGAAAGTCGTGCAATATCAGGTGAAATATGCATTTAATGTATATATATATATATATATATATATATGTGTGTGTGTGTGCAAGGCAAGAGTGGGAGAAATGAAAAAAGAGATGTAGATGGTTGACATGGGAAAATTGGGTTGTTTAAGATCAGACTGGGCTGGTCAAATAAAGGTTGAGTATGAAACATAGCAAAAACTAACCCACTGAATGTTATTGGTGGGTCAAAATTGATTCCATTCAACCCACTGATAATTAGTTTCCACTGCAGACAGGGGCGGATTCAGGGGGCGGAAGGGGTTCACGCGAACCCCGCCGAAAAATTACACAGTGTATATAAGGCAAAATCTGTTTCTTACCTCTATATATTAAGTTTTGAATCCCCTTAGCACAACCCAAAAGTGCAGTTTAGTGGTCATGGGAGTTCAAAACCTTCATAAGGTCATAGGTTCAATTCCAACTAGCTACAAAATATTTTTGAACCCCCTTTGTGGAGATCCTGCCTCCGCCACTTCAAGAAATTTTCCAGTTGAAATACAATGTCATGAAAGTAAAAACTAACTATTTATCAAAAAGTCAAAAATATACCTATTTAGAAACTACATGCGAAATGTTACAAATTAATATGTCTTTAATTTATTATAACAAATTAGGCAAAATTTGATATAATAAATACATTTGCTTAATTTATAACTCAATCTGAAACAGAGAACATAAAACTCATTTCAGAAGCTTTAAGAGAAAAAGTTTCCTATTTAGTTAGGAAGCCTTATGGCCTAAGTAGGACCCATGGCACGGGAATAATGGGAAATTTTACCACGTCTTTGGTTTTTCGAATTTAGTTAGAGCCATAAAGCCTGGCGGAAGATTCAGCCAATTTTACCTTGACTTGATGATCAATGCTAGCCATATGTAGTAATCGATCATTTAATATTTGCTTTACCTAAGAAAAAAATTGAAGGTGTCAGTAAAAGATACTAACCAGACAATGATATTTCAAAAGTCACACACCATAGTAACTTAGACCTTGCTGTCAAAAGAAAATTCTAGAATAGGTATATGCACTTCTAAAGTCAGATTGGCATAGGAAAGTTAAAACACTTTTTAAGTAATGTAGCAAATTAACAAAAAATCAATGCATAGAAATTTGGGAATCAAATATGATAATGCAGAACAAAAGACTCTAAATCACCACTAACACTTCGATAAATGGCATAATGGCTGAACAACAGATAATATAGGGAGGCAATTGCTACCTGTGATCGAAGAACTTCTTTGTATGTTCCAATCTCTCTCAGGGCGATAGCAAATTTAACCATATCAGAGCCTAAGAATGCAAATCACATGTATCAATATAAATTGGCTGAGGAATTTGACTCTAGATTCTTTGTTAAGTAGAGCTTACTGCAGAAAATCAATACAATGTTTGCAAACAAGGTTAATTGAGCTTGACAAGGATAGCAAAAGATGCAAATTTGTTCCATACTTCCATTCACCTTTTAACTTTTAGCTAATAATAGAAACACCAGAAGTTGATTAAGAAAAATCAGTGATAACATCAATTCATAACTTAGAATTTAGAAATTGCTACATACTATTTGTGGATAAGTAGTCCTATATCCTAACAAAATACTTCCTATGAGAAATGAGGTTTTTGTTGGTCGTAAGTGTCCTCTAGATGATGTCTTCGCAAGTGTAACCTCTATATAGTTAACTTTCTCATGATGTTCATGTTTTTGTTGTCTGTGTTCAACAATGTCTTCCCATGAATGTCTTCACAAGAGTAGATCATTTATATGGCAAGTTGTACGCAAAGATAAAGACAAAATGGAACCTCCAAATGAAACACCAACAGGATCAGTGTGCCCTCCTCCAAAGGTTTCAAGAGAACTCGCAAAAGCTATGTCTCTATCATATGCTTCCCCAAGACCTTCTCTATAAATTCGAAAAAAGAATGAATGAATCTTATAAACAACACAAAACTTGTGCAAGAGTTAGGATTATTTATGGAATAAAATCTTACAAAAACAATTTCAAATTCTAACTTTGATGTTTGATGACATCCTTGAAAAGAAGATCATATATCTATTTGCATTAAGTGTACATAGTGGTGCGACATTTTATACTCATTAAGTGGAACACACTGCAGTAGTCCATCCATAAGCCCAAATAGTTCGAAGACGCAAATGTTGAAAGATACAATCAGGTAAGCAAGTACAAAATTACTTGCCAAAGGAACTTCAATTAAGCGAAGGAGGGATATAGAAGATAGAGGAAAAGCACTGTCAAATGAATACAGATAGGAATAAGACCATAATATGCTTTGCAGATAAAATTGGATGTCAATATGACAACAATATGATAATGAAACTGAATGGGACTTAAAACTGTTAAAAGAAGAGGATTAACATACAGATTGATGAACATCTAACATACTGGGCATCAAGTGAGATGATGAAGTGAGGCTTGGAGATTAAACCTTCTATGTTGCACTTCCACGACTATCTATTTTCTTTATTCTTCTCATCAATACCCTAATCACAATGTCAAAATCTACTCAGGTCATGTTAGGACATGGAAAATCCTTCATTTCTTTTTTAATCCCTCATGGTGTATGTGCTCTTAAAACCTAAAGATTAAGGATGTGCTGTTAGCAGAAAGTCATAAATACACTAATATAAGATTCTGTTTAAACGATTCTACGTGTTGATTGAGCACAATATGACTTATTACACATTCTTGCAATGTGCTACGGCAAGGGCAATATTTCATGAAATTTTTTTCTTCCTATGTCCCAAAAAGAATGGCCAGGTTCGAGGTATGAGGATCAACACATCTAATTTTCAGCGTAAATGCGAATAAAAATCCTGAAACTACATAAAAAGTACAGTAGATAACAATTGTTGGAGTCAAAAATATTTCAAAATGTTTTAAAAATCATAGCAAAAGACAGCACCGTTCGACTCTCCAAATAGTAATAGCACCATATAAAATGGAACAGAGGGAGTATAACAAGATATTATAAAAGTTTGGGGCTATGATAAGATAAGAATGGTAAGATTTTACGAAGTTGTATTCAATTTTTTAGAAGATGATGTATGAAATTGCTACCCTTATGTGCAAAAAAGTTAAAATACTTTTTGCTGCTAGAGCTTTGTTATTGAGTTTCTTGTTGTTATCCATACAGACCTTCCTCTCTTCCAACCGTTATTCTCTCTTCTCTGCTAATCCCTTTATACATAAGAACCACTTAATAATGAAGCGTGCCGTGCAACACAACTAATGAAGACAAGTTGATAGAGCAACATAAAGAGACTTACGTGTACTTTCGACATCCTTTATAAAACTTTAGACATTTATCCCTCAACAATTCGGAATCTTCCTCCAAAGCTTGGATCTGTTCCACCAAGTACAATATTTAAGGACCCACACTCGTGGTCAGAGAAAATTAGAAATGATTAGCATATTCTTCAGCCTACAGATATCCATATTAAACTAAAACACGCCATGGGAAAGGCTTAAGCTTTTATGTGAGCCAAAGTCATATCAAACTGCATCTAGAAAATTCACACAGGACTAGATACACCACCTAGCATCTAACTAATGACTATACCACATATAAGTAATAATTGCATTTAAATCTTAGACAACATGTTTTCATGCTGATAACATGGAAAACAAGTCTCCAAGTCTCTACTAATGGAATGATATCCTTTGCAACCTCTGTTCCATACACTATAATTCCTTGGTTCCCCCTTCAAAAACACCTTAATCATGATAACCTCACAGTTCATACCAGGCAAACCACGGTCGGGAAATGCACTCAACAATAATAAGGTTTTCAGTTATACACACACACACACTTACTTTGTCAACATACATAAGTACATACTTTATCGACATACACTTCACTTCTTAAGACTACACGATCTAGTTTTAATATAAAACTAAAAAAGAAAGAAAATGGGTAAAAGAGAAATAAAGAAGTATGTCCATAATTGAAGAACTAAAGTATTACTATAGTAGTATTGATATTCACAAGCACAAACCTCAAAAAGTCAAAGTTTAAACTAACAATAAAATAAAAGGTTTGATTGCTCATCTTTCATCTACATCTTACTTTAAACCTCAGAAAGTCAAAGTATCTATCAATCAAATTTTAAATAGAAAAAAAATTAGTCAAATGTTGATTACTCTGCAGTTATCCAAGCAGAAAACGTTCAACCAAAATTCATGAATTACTATTCATTTGGCAGAAACTTATTGTAATTTCTTAACAACTAATCATCATGAGGCTACATGCACACTGTTATGAATGAAAATAACGTGTTGAGGACGTATTGGGAAATTTAGCAAGTTATGTGCGGGACCCAGGTTAGAGAATGTTTAAATAGCAGTAGGTTAGTAAAATAAAGTAGACAATTGTATTGTGAAGTTCCTTTCCCCTCCTGTGAGTGTGTCTTCTCACCCCCTTTCTATTTCTGTATGTCTGGCTTCTCTTTCCCTTCTGGTTATGCTCCCTTGTTCCTCTAATTCTATTAGTATTTCTTGCTTCCACTGTAATTCAATTCAGTAATAATAATATACAAGTATGTGTTTGTGTTGAGAACTTGGGTTCATTACATTGGTGCTTTCATCGTTCATACTCCAGTCCCAATGGTGATTTTAGATAGATTCAGTGGAGGCGACCCAGAGGATTGGATTTTTCGGGCTGAACGATACTTCATCTTTCGTGGTTTCTCTGAGAAGGACTGGTTATTTCTCGCTTACCTCTACCTTGATGGCGATGCATGGGCTTGGTTCGATTGGCTATATCGGAACAATCAATTTTGGGATTGGAAGCATTTCACTGAGAAGTTAATCATGTTGCGGAAGCCAAATGTATATAGTGTGAATAAGTCACAACTACTATACCAAAAATTATGACAACCACCAAATAATAAATAAGACAATAAAGCAACAATAAAAGGAACACCAGAATTTACGAGGTTCGGCTAATTTTGCCTACTCCTCGGACACAACCAATATTTTATTTCACTCCAAAAATACAAGTGAAATAATACTAAAGAGAGAAGATACAAATGTCTTAAACAGATGAGAAGACAAATGAGAGGTGTATATAAATCCTAAACATTAAGTCTTCTTTTATAGGGGAAAAATCCCCCCAACCCTTCTTTTCCCACCGATGTGGGACAAAAGATTT